GAAGATAATATTTGTAGCTCTCAGGGTTGAACTGTAGGATTCTTGATGCTCTCTGTGTTTGGTCGTTTTCTTGCAGACTTTTCATTACCCAACTAGGTGACATCTTTAGTGCTAGAAGGGAGTGGGGTTTGCTCTGTTTATGTACAGTGACTTTCCCTGTCAGGATTGTTGGGACAAAAACGAGGTGACCAAAATGCCTTCTTAACAGTAATCAACCCCCAGATAAGCAGGGGCTAACACCAGGATTAATACCAAATCAACAATCAGAGAAAAATCAAATAGTAAACAACAGCCTAATCAAGGAGCTATCAAAAAGAAAACAGCATTCCCACTAACACTGACAGGATTTGTTCCAGGATATTATAGACTCTGAAATTGTGTAATGTTTCTGCTCGCTGCATGAAACAGCTAATTAATTAATTAATTCATTCATTAGAAATTACATCCACTTACAAGAACCATTAAATTACTGTTGTTTTCCTTCAAATGAAGTTTATTGATGAAAATGGGCACACACACACACACACACACAAACACAGTCTGGATCTTCACAAACCCCCAGACATTTCCTGCAAACCAAATCTAAGTTAACATGTTTGACACACATAGTAAATAAGATGCTTTTGGGTGGGGGGGAAATCTGTTAATTTCAGACTGAAAAAACCTAAGCAAAAGAATGTCATCCTCCCACATTTCTTATAAGGTTGCATGTATGTGTTTATGTATTATTATTATGTAGTATGTATACACATTGGCTATAATATTGTAACACATTGCTAAATCTGAAAGTTTTCCATTAAATATTCTTAAATCTTCAGGTCTTGTTGTGGTCTCTTTTTTTTCAGACCAGTTCCATCAAAATAAATCAGCCTTTGTTGGAAACAGGAAAGGTGGCAGCTGAGCAAAGGGCAGATCATCAGATCCACTTGTTAGGTAAGATTTGAATCACAGATCATAGAGTCATAGGACTGGAAGGGACCGTGGAGGTGTTCTACTCTAACTTCCTGCCCAAGGCAGGAGTCCTTATACCATCACCAGACACATAGTTGTCCAGTCTTTTCTAGAAGACCTCCAGCAATGGAGCACCTACAACTTGGGGAGGCAGGCTGTTCCATTGATTAATCGTTCTCACTGTCAGGAAATTCTTCCTTATTTCCAGGTTGGATCTCCCTTTGAATAGCTTCTACCCATTGCTTGGCCAATTTGGATTTTGCAAAATTTCTAATATACTTCTGAGTTGTTTTCCTAAACCTATGACTTATGTACTTGCATCCCAAGTAGGAACACTTGTATATATGTAAGGGTGGGGCTTGTGCTGTAACATAACAACACTTAGGATTTTTTTTATTGGGGGGGGGGGGGTTGGATCATCATATCACCTATGTCAGTGATGGCGAATCTTTTAGAGACCGAGTGCCCAAACTGCAACCCAAAACCCACTTATGCATCGTCGGATGCCAGGTGGGTGTGGCCCATTGGCTGGGTGTGGCCCATTGGGTGGGAGTGGCCCATTGGATGGGCATGGCTGCGGTGGTAATGGCAGACTGGGTGGGACTAAAAAGTTCAATCAATCAATTCCAATTTTGCAAGATCTTTTTTTTCCATGAGAAGTTGAAATTGACTGATTGATTGAACCTTTTTTTTTTTTGTACACGGCGGCGGAGGCCTAAAGCGAAAAGGTTTTATAAAACCCACCTGAAGTCCTAGGACTGGGGCGACGCCATGCGTGCCCACAGAGAGGGCTCTGAGTGCCGCCTCTGGCACCCGTGCCATAGGTTCGCCACCACTGACCTATGTTGCTCTCTGTTTTACTGGGGAGAAGCAATGAGATGTTAAATGTCAAAATCCTCTTCACAGACTCATTACTCTCTGTTATTTCTTATAGAAATGGTTGAAAACAAGCGGAGGCCATTTATGAAAGGAATTTCTCACCTGATGGGACTTACTGGGGTTCCATTTGATAAAGCCAAAGGGGAACATTTCTCCTTGCCCCCAGTGGGAAGGATGGCAATATGTCATCAAGAGACAGAGAGGAATGAAGGGAGGCCCTTAGAGCAAGGAGAAGCCGAAAAACATACCTGTGAGAAACAGGATGACAAAATCTTCAGTCGAAACAGCTGGGAGAGAATGCCCAGAGAAAATGCTCGTAACCTTTCTAAGGGTCAAAAAATGGAAGCTGAAAAAAAGCCATCCCAACCTAATGAGGACAGTGAACGCTGGGAGTCCATTTTTGAGCTGAAGAAACAAATGAGAATAGATTCGGCCATGGATGGTCAGGATGGGCTGCATCAAAAAGTTGATCAAAGTAGTCTGCAGAGGATCCCTGTTGGAGAGAAACCATTCGAATGTTCCACATGTGGGCACGATTCCAGTCAGACCTTAGATCTGAGGGGAGGAAGTCTTTGTATATGTTTGAATTGTGGTAAAAGCTTTCTCTCCAGTTCATCCACAGGGAAGCAAGAGAGTGCATATGGCGAAGAGAATCCATCCAGACATTCAGAACGTGAGAAGAGGACCCCACAGCCTCCTGACTTTCAGATGGGAGAGAAACCATACATGTGCACGGATTGTGGGAAAAACTTCAGCTTTAGGTCAAGCCTTGTCCGCCATCAGAGACTCCATACCGGAGAGAAACCATACAAATGTTTAGACTGTGGGAAGAATTTCAGCCAGAGTTCAAACCTTCTGAACCACCAGAGGATCCACACAGGGGAGAAACCATACAGCTGCACCGACTGTGGGAAATCTTTCAGCAACAGTTCGAGCCTGACATCCCACGAGAGAATTCACAGAGGGGAGAAACCGTATAAGTGCGCCGGCTGCGGGAAATTTTTTAGTTGCAACTCAGTTCTCCGAATCCACGAGAGGATTCACACAGGGGAAAAGCCCTACGTGTGCTTGGAGTGTGGGAAAGGCTTCAGCCGGAGAGAGTTCCTGGTTGGCCACCAAAGAACTCACACGGGAGAGAAACCGTACGAATGTGCAGAATGTGGGAAGAGCTTCAGTCAGCGATCCAACCTGATTAATCATCAGAGAAGCCACACGGGAGAGAAGCCCTTTGAGTGCTTGGACTGTGGGAAAAAATTCAGTCACAAAGCGTCCCTCTTGAAACATGAGAGAAACCACGCGCATGGGCCAACCGTGGACAAGGATTTAGCCAGAGCTGATGCAATAATGCATGTGGTGGACCATAGCATGAATGTGGGGTAGATCTCCTCAAGGGTTGTCCACAAACAGAAACTCCACGTAGGAATGACACACAGTTTTGTAAGAACTGCCTTCCTTTGAAGGCAACCATCTTTTCGGCCTAAAATAAAACAGAAGGAGCAATTCGTAGAGTTGAAGCAGTGAGGAAGAAAATGTGGATGGTAGGTCAAGCTTCCCCTGAGATTGTCTCTTTTTCCATTAAGACTGTGGCAGACATTTTTTGCATCCCAAATATCACCTGTCTGGCACAGAAGAAAGGAATCTGCAAGCTTGGAACACTGAGGTTTGCAGACTTGCCAAAAATTAAAATAAATGGGGCTCTCTCCCCTCTCCCTCCAAAGACCTCCAAGGTCCCTTCCAACTCGGTGTATTCTGTAGAAAAAGAAAGAAGGGCTGAGCATGCTCAGTAAGCACTGGGAAGGTGGGCAGGAAGGATAATGCAATGATGTACCCTGAAAAAGGGCACGGCTGACAGAATTGTCACTAGTTCTTGGTGTTCCTAATTTTTACTACACTCACAAACTGTGCCACGGATTCATGGCGTGGGTGTCACAGTGTTTCTTAGCTCAGAAGGTTCCTTTCAAACTTGTTGCCGCCACCAGAGAAAGCAGTCTGGTGCCATTCAGTATCTGCTGTGGGCTTTCCTCAATCTCTTGTCTTAGAATGCGGCGCTTAGCATTCTGGGAGTTGCAGTTCAGCTGTGTGGCCTTCTAGGGAGCAGATCCCAGAATGCATCTGGAAGGAGGGCAGCAGGTGGGGAAACTGTATTGCCACGTTCTGTGGGTATGGCAGGTAACCAAATGCCTCTTATGTTCCTCAAATGAATGTAAGTTCTCGACTGCCTGCATGTTTATTGTTCCTCTTTGAGAAAAATAGATCTAAGTTAGGTGTGAACAGACTGGCTAAGTCCCCACACACACACACATGCTTGTCCAGATGCAAACAAGAAGTTTGTACTGGGGTCCATTTCACCTGTACTCAGAGGCTCCATTGTTGTTCAAGACTGGCTGTAGAAACTACAAGTAAGTCCTCAACTTACAACCACAGGAACTCTATCATGCAAAATTGCAATATTCCAAGTTTGTAGGAATGATTGAATTAATGTAAAAAGTTCACTGAGGATATACAGGTAATCCTTGACTTACAACAGTTCATTTAGTGACCGGTCGAAGCTACAACGGCACTGAAGAAAGTGATATATGACAATTTTTCACACTTACGACCATTGCGGTATCCCCATGGTCATGTGATCAAAGTCCAGATGCTTGGCAACTGACTCTATGACATTTGCAGTGTTCCGGGTCATGTGATCATCTTCTGACAAGCAAAGTCAGTGAGGAAGCCAGATTCGCTTAACCGCCATGTTACTAAAGTAACAACTGCTATGATTCACTTAGCAATTGTGGCAAGAAAAGTCGTAAAATGGAGCAAAGCTCAATAAGTGTCTCACTTAGCGACAGAAATGTTGGCTTCAATTGTGGCCATACGTCGAGGACTACCTGTACTGAATCTTTCCTATCCAAGTTGTCATAAGTTGTAATGTTATTCATATCAGCTAATCTTCCTATACAGATAGTCCTCGACTTATGATTACAAGTGGTACTGAAATTTCCATTGCTAAGCCAGGCAGTTGTTAAGTGAGTCATGCCCAATTTTACCACCATTTTACCACAATTGATAAGTGATAATCAGTGATAATCACATGACCATTGATCACACTGCAAACTTTGAAAATGCATGCCCGCTTTCTAGCACCCAAATTTTGTACAGTGGTTTGCTGCAGTGGTCATAAGTGCGAGGACTGGTTCTAAGTCACTTTTTCAAGTGCTGTTGTAACTTCAAATGGTTGCTAAATGAATAGCTGTAAGTCAAGAACTGCCTGTATGATGGAATCTGCATGATTGGTGCTCAATGCACCAACCTGATATATCAAGTAGATCAAGAAGTTAAAAAAATGTAATTCTAGGAATCCTGAAATATTAAAGTGGGTTTTAAAACAACATTGGAGCATAATTCTTGTGATTGTTCTGCTAGTACAGGAGGCTCAGGATCTAAAGAGTTTGAAGAATCTAAACTTGAATTTAAAATGAGATCATGTAAGAAATTATATTTGATGAAATTTTAGGCATCAGGGTTGCTAGGATTGGGAATAGAATTAACTGTCAACGCTGCTAACATCGGATGTTTTTGCTTTGACAACAGATGGAAATGTAGCCATCTTTTCTCTATTGCTTTTAAAGTTCGTTAATGCTGGAAGGGGGAATGTGGATGAGAGTCCAGCTAGTCATAACAATAATAACTCAGCCGTGGGAACCCAAGGTTATTAGGTCCAGAGTTGATAGAAATTTGGCTGGCAGGAGAGATGGGGAGAAAGCCCACACTTCAAGTTAATTGGGGAATGTGATTTATGACTGTTAATTGGAGGAGGGAATTGCGCTTTGCTACTTTGTGCCAGGGGAAGGGAAATCAATTTTTGGCTTCAACTATGTTTCTCAAATAAAAGATTCTTTAAGGAAAACAATGCCTCAAAGTTGTTTTGAAGAGATTCATCTGTCGGAACCATGACATTAACCTGGCTAAGCAGTGATGGGATATATTGGGGAAAATAATGAAGAGTCATGATCATTAATTGGGTTCTATCAGTAAAGCAATCAGCTGAAAAATTATTTTATTACTAGAAGCCAGTATTGGAATTTTAATTAGGAACTTGTACTTAAAAGTATAGTTGTCTGTTTTTTCCTTCCTTTTTCAAATAAATTTATTTTTAGTACAATACTGTATTTAATAGGAAATAGAAAACAATAAATCTTGCCTTTGTAATGAGTGTTTGGTTTTTTTTATCTCTGGATTTTTGCAATGCAAGAGGAAATAGATTGAATTAGATTTACTTAATTAAAAAAAAATATCTGAAAATCAGTTTGGTGCTGGGTTAGTAACCAGGACACTGCAAGTTCTTCTTCTGCCTTAGATATGAAGCCAGCTGGGTGACCTTGGGTCAGTTCCTCTCTTTCAGCCCTAGGAAGAAGATAAGAACAAACCAGTTTTGAAAGTGTTGTCAGGAGTCAACACAAAGGACAAACACACACTCTTGTAGCTTGCCTTTCCAACATTATTGTGCATCTAGATTCCACTAATGTTCTTTAGGTTTCTGGGGAGTTCCTAAGATAGCTGGAACAATACACCACAGTAATTATCTAGACCAGTGTTTCTCAACCTTGGACACCTTAACATGTGTGGACTTCAGTTCCCAGAAAGTCCACACATCTTAAAAGTAGAGAAACTTTGCTCCAGTGGAAGGTTAACACGCCATAAAATAACATCTGAGTGTATAAAAAATAATAATAACAACATCTGAGTGCGATTCGTCTATTGGTTAAGGCACCAGGCTAAAAAACAGGAGACGATGAGTTCTAGTCACATCTTAGCCATGAAAGCCAACTGGGTGACCTTGGGTCTGTCACTCTTTCTCAGCCCAACTCACCACACAGGGTTGTTGTGGTGGGGAAAATAGGAAGAAAGTGCATTGGATATCTTTGCCACCTTGAGTTATTTGTGAAAGTAATAAAGGTGAGGCATGATACATACATACATACATTTTGTTGTTGTTAGTTGCGAAGTTGTGTCCGATCCATCACGACCCCAAGGACAACGTTCCTCCAGGCCTTCCTGTCCTCTACCATCTTCTGGAGTCCATTTAAGCTCATGCCTACTGCTTCAGTGACTCCATCCAGCCACCTCATTCTCTGTCGTCCCCTTCTTCTATTGCCCTCAATCTTTCCCAGAATTAGGCTCTTCTCCAGTGAGTCCTTCCTTCTCATTAGGTGGCCAAAGTACTTGAGTTTCAACTTCAGGATCTGGCCTTCTAAAGAGCAGTCGGGGTAGATCTCCTCTAGGACTGACCGGCTTGATCGCCTTGCAGTCCAGGGGACTCGCAGGAGTCTTCTCCAGCACCATAGTTCAAAGGCCTCAATTCTTTGGCGCTCAGCCTTTCTTATGGTCCAACTTTCTCAGCCATACATTGCAACTGGGAAAACCATACATAAATACATAAATACATAAATACATACATACATACATACATACATACATACATACATACATACATACATACATACATTGGCTACCTATACCTGATGAGTCCCCAGTAGAAAACAGCCAGATACTTAAAGCCCATCTCCCAGGGTTGAACTGCCTTCCGCATGAAACAAATGAAACATTCAATCTCCCCTTCATGAAAATGCAAGGTCTGTATTCTTGCACTCCAGTGATCAGCTTGGCTGTGTTTACCTAACATGTTCAACTAGACTTGTCAAAGAACCAACACCTCTATTTGCTCCACACAAGAAACTTGCTTAGTTTTTACCCTGATTCAAATACAGATACTCTCGGCTTACAAAAATTCATTTAGTGGCCATTTGAAGCTACAACAGCACTGAAAAAAAGGACTTAATGACCATTTTTCACATAACCACTGTGGCATCCCCATGGTCACATGAGCAAAACCCAGATGCTTGACAACTGACTCATATTTATGATGCTTGCAGTGTCCCAGGGCCATGTGATCCCCTTTTGCAACCTTCTGACAGTCAATGGGGAAGCCAGATTCACTTAACAACCGTGTTATCAACTTAACCATTGCAGTGATTCATTTAACTGGGGCAAAAAGGTCGTAAAATGGGGCAAAACTCGCTTAACAAATGTCTCACTTAGCAACATTAATTTGGGCCCCGTTATGGTCGTTAAGTCGAGGAACACCTGTACACATGCATGTTGGTTAGCATACTGTGGAAACACAGCCTTAATTGAATATTTTGCCATCCAGAATAGGACTTTGGTGTGTATTCATCAATGATTTTATCCACTGTGTTCTACAAATGTTGATTTTAATGTTTTTTAATGCTTTAATGTTCTTTATACTGTAAGCCACCCAGAGTCGCTGGATACGAGATTGGCGACAAATAAATTTCCTAAATAAATAAATGGGGAAAAAATAAATAGCGGGA